TTCCACTGATAGGTAGCTGTACTGAGGGGTCAGGCTATCGCTGTATCTTCCTGTGGTTTCACTCTTATCCTAGCCATCCAGTATTCCATTATTTGGAATGTGTGTTGGATATTCCTCTCATGTGACACTGGTCGGGTTGTTGTGGCCCCCGAGGGCGTTGCTTCCCTGGCGATCTCTAAGTTGGCTTCACGGTTCTTGGAGCACGTCGGCTGACCTGTGGTGTTTTCCTCTGCAACTGGAGTGCTGAGGAGGGCGTGTGGGTATACCCTCATTGGTGTAGAGTTCTGTAGCTGGCAGGGGAATTACCGTAGACAGAGAGATTGCCTTGGAGATTGGGTGGATGCTCTGCAGTAGCATGGAGCCCCACCAGTAGTGGTCAGGCGTTTCCCCCAGTCACTTGTAGAGCTTCAGGATTTAGGCTGGGGATGCCCTCACTGTTTGTAGGGGAGAACCCCCTGGTGTGTGGAAGAGGACCAGCTTGAATTCCCCAGCTGCTTGCCAAGCCAATAAATTCGGGTGGGAGCTCCCCCCCCCTTTGGACCTTCAGAGTTGCCCCAGGCAGAGGGGAGTGGCCTGGAGGCCGCCGTGGCTTGTGACAGAAAAGAGAGGGAAGAGAGAAAAAAGAAGACACAGACTGGAGCAACAATGCCAAGCAAACTGACACCCCCTCACCCACACACAACTAAAATGCACAGAGTAAACAAAAGTGAAAACCGTAATTTAAAAAAAGACAGACAGAAAGAAAAGAAAACAAGAAAATAAGGAGAGCTGAGGCTGCGGTAGGAAAGAGAAGAGCTAGAAGAGGAGAAAAGAAGAAAAGGTGACAGAAGAACACAAAGAAAGAACAAGAAGGTAAAAAAGAAAGAGGAGAGATAATTTTAAAAATAGACGAAATAGCTGGCCCCGTGCTGTGCTGTGTGGAGCACTGACTCGTCCTGTGTGCAGCACTGTCTTAGGGGTCAGGCTGCCCACTGGGAGGACATGGCTGCCCTAGGCAGAGTGTAGGGGTCTGGGAAACAGCAGTGGCATGTGAAAGGAATGAGAGGGAGAAGAGAGAATCATACGAGCAGAGAGAGAGAGGCGAAGAGAACAAAGAAAGAAAGAGAAAGAAGGGGGAAAAACCCAACTGTGTTCACTTAGATGGTCTGTGATGGTAAAGGGGGAGGAGCGAGAGAAGGAGGAAATAAAGAATAAAGAGATAGCTGATCCCTGATTGCTTGGATGTGGGGCCAGAGGGGTTTAGACCCTGCCCCACAATGGCAGTTTGGTGTGCCCTTTTAATGCAAGGAGCCAGTGGTGCTGGGCAGAATTGCCCTAGTTGACGAGATCGCCTTAGAGGTCCGATAGAGGTTTCCTCAGCAGCGCAGCGTGGTGTAGATGTCTATCCCAGCTGCCGTGTGTGGTGTACAGCAC